AGGAGGGCTTAAATCAGGGAGAATCTGGAGTTAAGATGATTTCCACGGGATCATGTGACCCTCCAGTGTGAGACCAACATGGGTGTTGGGACTGGATTTCAGTCATGATCAAAGTTTAGTGTTTTTCTTTCTGTGTATAAGAGCTCACTTTTATTCTCTTTGCAAACCACTAATGAATTTACAGTTGTATTTATAGTGATGAAATGTTACCTAATATAGATTAGAGAACAGAAGCATGGAATTAGAATTTTTCTTAAGAATTTTAGTAAATGACAGTTTTACTGTTGTCAGCTATAAAGCAAGAAAGCAAAACAAAAATTTTATTCTGAAATATCTCTAAGCCTTAAAATTTAGACTTTTAAAAAGAAAGTCATGTGCCCAATAATTCATGTTTTTAAAGATATTTGTAAGTGAAGATTCAATATCTTTGTAAAATCATGAGTACTTCCCATAGATGTTTTGAAAAGATAAACAGAAAAAAAGTAAATAGGAAGGTTAATTTTTTGATTAAAGAAAAGTGTTCTTTACCTAACATTGGGAGATAATTCTTCATGGGTTTTTGACATTTCTGTACATCTTTGGGGCAGAGGCATCACCTACTTTTTTTCCCTATCTTTTCAAGAATATTTGTATAGAAAATAGACTTAGAAGATCAAAAAGTATCCCTACTGGAGCAAAGGTAGGTCGGACTTATTGTCCATTATAAACCATTTCGGGTTCCCTGAGCTTAGGGTTCCTCTTCTGCAGTGGAGCCCACTGTGTTTACAGGCATCCATTGAGCCCTCTTTTGTCACCTGTAGTAATTAGGACTTAGGAAACATGGGCAAATGCTGACTCTCTGGCTAATACTATTTTTGTGAGTAATAAACTCTCCTTTGCCTCTGATCCAGGAACCTTGTATCTTCTAACCAGCATCCATGAAACTGTGTCAGGTTAACTTACTAGATTGTAAGCAGGGTACAATCTCAGCCCTTCTACAGTTCTTGACACATAGAGAAACTTGTACACCTACGTACCAGGAACATTGCAAGAATATTCAGAACAGAATTGCTTGTGATATACAAAAATGGGAAACAACCAAATATCTGTCAATAATAAATACATTGTGTACACTTATATGATGAAATTGCACACACTGTGTAAGTAAATAAATTGTAACTTTATGCAGCAACATGGTTAAATCATACAAGCATAATGTTGAAAAAAAAAAAGGAAGCAAGGCATAAAATAATACATCCTGATCAAAATAGACAAAACTGTATTTTTAGAAATAAATATATCAATGATGATAGCATAAAAAAAGAGATATACTGAAAGTCATGATGGTGGTTATCCCACATGGGGACACAATGATATGTTAACGTAGGGCCAGGGTGTTCTATGTCTTGACTGGGGTGGTAGATACATGAGTGTTTGCTTTATATTTATTCACCATACCGTCTGTGCATTTATGTTTTGCATACTTTTCATGGGTGTGGTATTTCATAATGAAAGAGGTTAAAAATACTTTAGAAAGAATTCCTTAATCTATTGTTCTTTGGATGATATAACTGAACGTGTCTGTTCACTGTGAAGAATGTAAATAGAGAAAAAGGGAAGTTTATATTAAAGATTAATTACATCTTTACAATCATTGATAATCAAGTTTTTAATGTTTTTCTAAGTAAGATTCCTTGAAAATGTTATTTAATATGCCAGACTATTAAGGTTGAAATCAAAGTTTGTTTTGACATGATTCTTGTGTTTTCAGTAGTGTTTCGCTTTTGAGAGTTAGTACTATGAATGCATACACAGGGAATACATCTCTTTGAAGTGCTTTACACAAGGTGACAGGGTGACACTACCTAGTCTCAAGAATATACCAACAAGATTATCCCATAACTGCCCTTTGTTTACATACTGTTTGAGGAAAAAATGATTCATTAACAATGTAGGTATTGGAATTATTGATGTTATCTCTGCGTTATGCTGTTGAAAAAATGTAAAATGTATGGTCATTTCATAAAATGCATGTAGTGGTCAAAATAATTTTGTTTTTCTACTCCCCTACATTCTTTCCTATGTATTAAATATTAATATTTCTTTGATCTGCTAATGTATGCAACTCTAATGCATCCTCTTTACTGATCTCAGCATTCCTTTCTATTTATTAAAATAAAATAGAGGAAATGTACTCTTCTCAATTTTTAAGTTATTTTAAAGGAAAAAGTTTTCCCGGATTTGTCAATAGGATTTAAAAGAAAATAATAAAAATTATAATTATGAATATGGTCTAGCTGTGTAATATGTTGAATGGCTGAAACAACACACCTTTATTTATGTTTTAAACAATTTGAAATCCTTTCATCTTATGAATGAAATCCTTTCATCTTATGAAATCTTGTGAAAATTACATTCCAGATTTACAGATCAGTCAGTCATGGAGGTGCTCTAAGGATAAGGAAATGAATGGCAAGTCAAAGGAGGGGACTAACACAGACTATAGAATTAACAGTAGGATTCAACCCTAAGAAACCAGGATTCAATTACAAGTTCAAAGCTCTTTTCTCAACTGAATCACAAGTCCCTTCTCTCAATCCAACACTGTCAGTAATTGAGGAAATTTTTCTAGGACATTTGCTCCCCTTTTCCCTCAGATCCCAAATTTGTCTCTTTATACTTGTCCACTGAAGTTGAATTCCCAACTCTTTAATTTCATTCTTAGTCCCTTTCCCTGGCTAGGGTATGTATGAAAAAGAGGGAAGAATAAGAGATTTTTGAAGCCCTGAGGGCTGATTTTTCATTAGCATAAATATAAGTAACCAGGACAACAGAGGACTCAGCAGCAGATGGCTGATAAGAACCCCTCTTGTTCAATATATTCAGGAATGGAATTAATTTTTAATACCACATATTACCAATCTTCTAATACATAGGTAATCTCCTTGCAATCCTTTCCAGTAAGCACAGATGATGCTGATGGAATAAATGGGAGGAAGTCAGCCTGATCTAATGGAAAGTGTTTTTCCACCTTTTCCCAGGATATAGGCATTTTTGGTCTGAATTTTACTAGCCTGTACTTATAAGACACTCAGTAACTGTTAGCTCTATTAGGTTATGGCTGAGTGAATGGATCATGGTATAGTGGGAGAAAGCACTGGGCCGGAAGTCAGACAAATTGAAATCTGGTTCTTGCCTTTTTTGCTAATAAATATTGTGGATATAAATAAATCATTAACTGTCTTGGTTTCAGTGTATTCATTGGTTTAATAAACAAATAATTAAATGAATCTAATGATTTCTGAGATGCTTTTAGCTAGCTCTGTGTTTCTAGGACATTGTGAATGGTAAATGCCACTTATTATCTTCAACTCTTCGAAGTAAAAAGGAAATAACTTTGTTTTTAATGTAATGATTGAAATAGGGTATATTCTTCAATAACCAAAGGTCAGTTACCCAACATTTTTGTCCTACATAACAATAACATGTACAATTTATAGAGCCCTTTGTATGTTTTAGGCACTATATTAAGTACTTTACAAAGACTCTCTCGTTTAATCCTTTATGACTTAACAAATTAATAATTAATGTTATAATAATTTTATAGAGGATGGAACACAGGCTTTGACAGTTTGAGTAATTTGACCAAGGCCCAGCAATTGCTCCTGATTGGTAAGATATGACTTCAGCTTTTTTTTTATTTTTATTTTTATTTTTTTATTTCTCCAGAAGCCACGCTCTTAACTACTGAGTCTGAATGGAACCATATAAAACAGAATCATCAGGGGAAATCACTGGGTCAAGACAAGAGGGTCTAAAATGGCTACAACTTTTTAAAAATTGCTTTATTTTAAAGGTAGTATATAGTCATATTCTTTTTGTGCACAATTAAAACAATACATGGCAAAATGCGGAATTTCCTCTTTACCCACCTTTCCAATCTCACTCCCCTCCGGAACATGTAATCACCATCTATAGTCTACAGGGTGGGGTTGGTGTTAGTGACTGAAAGGAACATGTGGGGGACCTCTGAGGTGATCATAATGCTCTGATTCTTGATCTGGGTGCTGATTATCTAGCTGTGTTCATTTGTGAAAATATTAATATATCAGTCTATCCACTTGTGGTTTATACACTTTTCTGTATGTACCTATGTGTACATTGTCACAGGGAGGGCACCAAGCCATTGATAAGGGATCTGCCCCATGACCCAGGCACCTCCCACCAGGCCTCATCTCCAACACTGGGAATCAAATTTCAATATGAGATTTGGAGGGACCAAACATCCAAACCATATCACCCTAATATTTCAATAAAAAGCTTATCAAAGAAAATGCCATGATGCACAAGTATTTTGTACTATTCATTGTTCCAGAGCCCCCCTTCTGGGAAACAATGGGGAAAGCTATGTAAAAATTGGGATGAAAAACACTTTCTCTCTTTATTCCTTGGGAATTGATGATGCTGCATTGTAATTTCCAGAACCCACTTTGGTTATACCATTTCTTGGGAGTTTCCTACATACTTGGCAAGCTCTATATGATGTGTTTCTCCGTGTGAGGCTGTCCACAGTCTTAGAGGAATATCCAACTGAAATTGTGCTTAGTTTTTAATTTTTATTGAACCAAACCTCAAATTTTCACAATGTGTCTTATCAGAGAAAATATCTCTTCCTCATTCACCTGGTTTCCTTGAGAAAAAAAATTTCACCTAAAGCAGCCTTATCCCTCCCCATGCGACTCTGAGTGGGAAACTTAGGTGTACGTAGCCAAGCACCTGCTACTCCCATGTCTCTTAGGGGCCGGTGCCTATGGAGAGGACCTGCCCACAGTTGCTCTTGGCCGTGGAGCTACTACTCGTTATTTCTGCTCACCAACATCCAGTTCTCTGTTTGGGCACATGAAAGGCTAAATTTACTGGTTGAGATCATTTTATTAGTTTGAGATTGAAAGTGATGTAATTCACTTCTGGAACACAGTGTGTGGTTGCTAGGACAGAAAGACTTTGTGGAACCCTGGCAACTGGCAAAGTTTGAGATGGGTGTTGCTTCTTCAGACTGGGTCCCAAAGAGAGTGGGATGTAGAGCAGAATCCCAGATGACCTGTGATGGACCTGTTATCCCAGATGACCTGTGATGGACCCGTTATCCCAGATGACCTGTGATGGACCCGTTATCCCAGATAAGCAAAAAGTTTGCCTTTGCGGCTTCAAGCCACTGAGATTTGGGGCTCATTTGGTACTTCAGCTGACCGCTGACAGACGTCCATGAGTTAAATTTAGCAGCTGAGGCTCTGCCCATAGGTGTAGGGAGAGTTGTTCGGTGCTGCCTGTACCTAGGTGGGTAAATGTAATTCTGGAGTTTAACCTTCAGAAATTCTCTTCGTTTAAAAGCTTTAGTCCACAATATTGACTTAATATAGGATAGAGGTTTTGGGGTTTATTTTTAAATATCTTATTTCACTTGCTCTTTTGCCTAAACAGTTGCTTCAAAACTTGTATAGGGAAAAGGAGCATTATTTCCTGGGCTTCCTCCCTTCTAACTCCATCAGGCTACTGAATGGAGTCAAGTAGCCTGGAAAGGAGCTGGGGAGGCAGACAGGGACCAGATCATGCACTACCTGATGGGTTGTGTCAAAGATTTTGTCTTTTGTAAAGTCCACAGGGAAGCCATGAAAGGCTTTTAAGCAGCTATGTGACAAGGTAAGATTTACATTTTTCAAAGAGCAGACTGACTGGTGCATGGAGAGTGAATGCATTACTGGGGTATGAAAATGGATATGGGGAGACCAGTTTTAGGAGGACATTGCAGGAAGTCCTGACAAAGGATGATGACTGCTCAAACTGAAAGAAATTCTGTCATGGTTAAAATGATGAAATACATGTTTCCTTTCCTTTCATGGTCTGGCTTGATCTGGGGATACACTTTAGAATATTTAGAGGAATGGAAGCATGACATAATGTTTAAGCAATCCTCTAGGAGTATTAGTCTCTCTCTCTCTCTTCTCCCTCATATACATATTTGATGAGGATTAAATAGAAGGGATTTTGGATTACATTCCCTGGTAACAGTTTTAAGTGCACAAATTCTGTATGTGCTTCAACAATCAATTGATATCTCTTCTGATATTTAAGCATTAATGAAGACCACGTTGCCCCTATTCTTCCAAGAGTGTACACAGTCCCTCCTATGTTACCTCTGGTCCAAAGACCCCTTTATAACAAAGGAACTCTGTCCAGAGCACTGCTGTGTTACAAGGTACCCTAACCACAGTCTCTCCTGTCTTAGAAGGAACTCAGATTCTCCTGTCACAAGAGGCCCATGACCACAGGGTTAAAAACACAACAACAGGAATAAAAACACACCCAGTTCTTAGAAAAGGAGACCTCCTGATCACAGAGGAAGTCATTTCCATAAAGGGATTCCTGACTGCTTGCTCAAGCTGGGAATAGGCCTATGAAGTTCCAATTAAAAGGTGTCAAATGGCTTGTGGAGGTAAGACACTGCTGCATGCCCCTCTCATCTCTGCTTCCTGCCTACAAGTTAGCAGAAAGAGAGAATCTTCTTTTCCATACAGCACACACATCTGACAAGGAAGCCACATGATCTCAAATGGGTATGTGCCTGAAGAGATTCTGTACACAAGGCCAAGATTTTTGTAGGAAGACAATTTGGGTTTATTCCAACACTCGCATGGGCAATTGATGCACTAAAATTCTACATCATAGAATATATGCAGAGTGATTTCAGCCTGAAAATGTTTTAAAGGATAGTTAATAGATCTTCCATTGTGGCAATTAAAAACAATTCTCAATAAAATTTTTTTTAAACATCTACTTTTGAGCCATGTAAATTCCTGGGGAATTCTAACATTAGCTAGATACAAAAGGTACACATGGAAACTAAATTTTATTTTTTATACAGGAAGGTTTAGAAATAATCTCCTTAGATATTAGGGAGTCTGTGTTCATCAAAGGCGAATTCTGTTTTGGGGTAGCTTTTAAAATAGCTACCTCATAATAACATAGTGGAAACCATTATATGTTAAGCTGATCCTATTATAAAAGAAAGAGGAGAAAAATGTATCTACATAATGATTTTTTCTTTTCTAAGACAAGCATATGACTCATTCAGAAGTGTTACTGAATTATTAAGTTTCACATTAAAAAGAAGGGAACATGAAGTCATCGCTACTTTACTACCTCAAAAGTATCTGAATGACCAATAGATGGCGCTCTGATCTTGACCCTGGTGCGGTTTAATGATGCAGATTATAAACCATGTATCTTTATTGAGTTTCATGATTGTTCATTCAAGTTTATTCATTTTATTTTACAAGTCATTATTGAGTGCCTACTATGTGCTAGGACTGTATTATGTTTCTTTCCACAGGGTCAAGACTACGGTAAGTTAAATAAAAACTTTGATGTATTTCTTCATAAAATGCTATTTGAGTTTCTATTGTTATATAACAAAGCTATTCAAAGCTTAATGGCTTACAATAACAATGACTTATTATTTATGACCATTTTGTAGGCTGGGTGGTTTCTCTGCTGATTTCATCTGGACTCACCCATGTAGCTGAGTTCAGCAGGAGGATCACGTGGGCTAGAAGGTCTGAGATGGCCAAACTTACACATTTGGTGGTTGGTGCAGGCTATGCTCTGGTGCACTGAGGTTTGCCTCTATGAAGGCGAGGCCACTTTTTCACATGGCCATCTCTGAGCAGTGCTCCGAGTGGAGGAAATCAGAGCCGTGAGGCCTACTGAGAGTTTCCTAGTTTTATAAGTTATGTTATTGTCACTTCTGCCTACCTTCTATTGGTCAAGCAAGTCCAAGACCAGGCCAAAAATCAACAGATAGGAAAATAGCCTCTAACTTTCTTTATGGTTTTTTTTTTTCTATTTAAAAATTATTTATATGTCACTTTTAATTGTGGATAAATATACATAAGATTTACCAACTTAACTATTGTTAAGTGTAAAGAGAGATCAGTAATGTTAAGCACATTCACATTATTGTGAAACCATCACCACTGTGCATTTCCAGGATGCTCATCTTGCAGAACTGAAACTCTGTATCCAATAAGCAATAAGCCCCCACCTCCCCTCACACACTACCCCTGGCAACTACTATTCTACGTTTTGCTTCTATGAGTTTGAGTACTCTAAATTCCTCATATAACTGGTGTGATACGGTATTTGTCCTTTCTTAGGCTCTAACTTTGGATGGGAAAAGATCAGTCACATTGCAAAGGGGCATACATATGGTGTGATGGGAGGGGTTTGTGGTCACATTTTTCGATCCACATAAAACAAGTAGAGAAATGAACAAAATAGTACAATAGCCATGCCTAGATTCAGAAGTCTCCCTGTAAAAACATTACTGGAGAAGCCTGTAAATTTTAAAGAAGGAAAGCAGTGTGTGTGTGTGTGTAGGACAAAATGTTTATTAGGTTAACAAGGCCATTGTTTCGGTGGAGAGTGAAGGGTTATATAGACCTGGATTATCCATCACATATACTGAGTAGATCTCTTCATTATTAGTCTTTTCCATTATTCTGAGATACTTAGTTTTCTTTAGCAGTTGATGAACTTTGTAAGAGTCTGTTAATTCCTAATCAGTGCTTCCCCAGGGGGGAAGATAAAGGTAATGAAATGAGGTAGAATGAAGTAGTTGAGCTATACTGGCAAGGTAGTGTGATATAGTTCCAGTATTTGATGGCATTACATATGATCACATAATTAACCTTTCTGACAACTTAGTATAAACATATATTGTAGAAGTTACAGCTTTTTCTTTTTTTTTTTTTTGGTAAATTGTTTCATTTCTTAAATCCCTACTGTGTATCAAGCCTTTTACATACACTATTCCTAAATGTTGTAACAATCATGAAAAGTGTCAGTTCCTATTTTACAGATGAGAAAACTGAAGCCTAGGGAAGATGGGTGAATTCCCCACTGCCAAATATTAAGTACAGGACAGAATCTGGACTTCTAGATGCATACTCAGTATCCATTCTCCCCTTCTCGCTGAGCAATGGACCCCCAATTTTGTTGGAGATTGCAATGCATGCAGCCAAAACTACATTTTACATGTTCCTTTCCATAGGTAATAAAAACTATCTGGCTGATGAAAGGTAGCTAAAATTTGTGGCATTGGGCTTCTGGGAAGGGATATTAACAAAGGGGACTGACCCGGTTAACATACACAATTTTGCCATTGGTCTTTTCTGTTTCCTGGGACAAGGTATGATGACTGGAGCTCCAGCAACCACAATATATGCATAGGCTCATAGCCAGACTATCAGGAAGGTAGAGCAGAGACTTGGAAGAAGTTGTGAAGCTGCCTTATGTGAGAGGAAAATAAAACCCCAATCGTGCTTAAGACAATCATTTTTTAAATATAGCAGCTGTAATCAATCCCAACTGTCAAAACACCAAAATATACCCCCATATGACTATCTTTCAATGCTTTATTTAAAATTTATAAACCTTGAGTCATAAAAGTAATAAAATAACATTTTAGGTCCAAGAATGGCTATGCACAATCACAAGCCTCTACCCCAGCAGAAAATTAGAAGACATTTATTAGTCTTACAATGTCTGAGCTTTTTGATCAACCACTTCTGCAAACTTGAACCTTTAAGGTTTGCTTCCTTTCCATTTTCTGCCTCAGAGAGTGAGAGTTCCCTGCCTTTGCTTGACTTTCATGGCACCAAGACACCTCTCATGCTCTGAACTTCAGATTCTACACCCTAAATCAGTACACCTTCAAATTTCAGCAGCATAAGAACTACATGGAATGTTTGTAAATTAAAAAATCAGATTTTTAGACCTATTGAGGAGATTTTGAATTGGTTGTTCTGTTGCAGGGCCCAGGAATTTGCATTTTTAACAAATATATTCCAGGCAATTCTTAGGTATGTGATTCACAGGCTGGCCTTTGAGAAACCCAGTTAACCTTTCCCTTTAACCAGTGCTTTGTGGTGTGTTAAATGACCAAAAGTTTCAATGTGAAATGGGGGAAAAGTGTATTTTGTGTCTTTTAACAGTTAAAAATTGAGTGGAGAAGTATATACAAGACAGAAAAAATAACCTTGGCTTAAACAAGATAGGGATTACATTATCCTCTCATATAAACCCTGCTATGGTATGAATACCAAAGATGATTCCTGAAATTTAGCAAGGTAGGTCAGGGTAATATGGCTTATTTTTTACTTACTATGGAAATTTTCTTGTAAGTATTAAATTTGTACTAATTGGTATGGCTGGCAGAAATTGTACCAGATGGATAGGTAAGTCTCCTACTTTTGCAGAGTTCCAAGATGTCTTTCCTATTCTTAATTATTAAAGATTAATTTTATTTTGTAGAACATTCACAGAGAATTGCCAATACCTTTTCTCAAAGGACATAATTTAAAACTTTAAAGGATCAAAATTTTAATAAAAGTTTGGAAATGTTGCCAATGTTTTTATAGAAGTTACCAAATGATTTCAATTCAAAGCTGTATATTAAAAGTAGAGATTAAGAGAAAGTGAAACGTAGGCCACAACTGGGAAGAAAATATTAGTTAATTTGCAAAGTGGTGGAGGTTCCAAAGGACAACTTACCTTTCACTCTCTGAACTTTTGCTGAAAATCAACTGACAAAAGGCAGATTTTTTGTTTTTTTTTTTGAGACAGAGTCTCACTCATCACCTACGCTAGAGTGCCACGGCATCAGCCTAGCTCACAGCAATCTCAAACTCCTGGGCTCAAGCAATCCTCCTGCCACAGCCTCTAGGGTAGCTAAGACTACAGGTGTGTGCCACCACGCCCAGCTAATTTTTTCTATTTTTAGTTGTCTGGCTAATTTTTTTGTTTCTATTTTTAGAGACGGGGTCTTGCTCTTGCTCAGGCTGGTCTCAAACTCCTGAGCTCGAGCACTCCTCTCTCCTTGGCCTCTCAGAGTGTTAGGATTACAGGCGTAAGCCACCATGCTTGGCCACAAAAGGCAGATTAATCAGAGAAGTGGAATACTAATTTATTAGCATGCATGAGGGAGAATCACATGGTGATTACCCAATATGCCAATGGGGTACAGATAGATGCACAAATGCCCTTTTCTTTGTCAGAAGGGAGACCAGAAAGTGTGGATGATTTTAGGGGGTTGGCACATAATTTTTAAGAGAAATCAATGGGCTTGAAGAACAAACAGTGGCCTTGGACAAAGTCTGTTGGGACTGCAGAGCAGACAATGTGAAAATGTCTGTCCAGGTATGTTGCCAGACTTCCTTCTTTCTTCCTGCAATATGAGTTCAATTGATGAAAACTCAGGGAAGGGACCTCAGGTAATGGTTTTTTAACTTTTTGGCAGGTCCACACTTTAGGTAGATAAAGGAACTTCAGAGAACAACTTTATCCTGTGCTTTGGGAGACACAGAGGATTGAGAAACAGGATCAAGGGGGAGGTCAGAGAGATATTGAGGCTTCTTTATCAGTTCGATGTGTCAA